TGTTTTAACTGTTGAGTTATGTATTCCGTCCTTGTCATCGTACCCCGAACCCCCACCATTACAATACGGCCTGGAATATCGTAGGCTCCGTCTCAACACATGTTCTAGCGTTTCACAATCCTCTTCGCATAGCCGACACCACGTCTCTACATCGTCCGCCTAGTACCTGTTCGCTCTCTCCTCATTGCCACAACGGAATTTAACCACCAGCCAAACTTCCTTCCCTCACTCCCTTCCTTCATCAAGAATTTGGAAGCCTCTCCGTCATTATGTCCCCATATCTTTCATTGTGTTTTCCTCTCTTATCTGCGTCCTTCTCTCCTGTCTCTGGACGTCCCTATCCTTGTCGCTTACCTCCCCTCACATCTCCACCCATTCCCTTCTTCTGTTATTTATCTCCGGTTCTGAATAACCCGTCTCTCCTTTGCCATATCTAATCTTCCCCTCTTTAACTTCCTTCCAACAGTCCCCCAGGATCCCGTAGTACGGCCCTCTTTCTATCAGTTCTTCATATTTAACTGTTCTTCTAACCGCCTCCACCCTCATTTCATCCTCCTTCCTCACAATATACTCCGGTGTTTCCCTTACCAGACCCACAATCTACCTCCAATACCGATTCTGTACATCCTCTAGAATAACCTGCCTCTTCCATCATCCGTACATCATTGCACTCCTCACCAACCCATCAAACATAATCTTTCTCATTCTGATGTCCTTTCCAAACACTCTCTCACCCCATCCGCATTCCTCCCGCTTTCTTCTCCCGCCTTTGCAGAACTTCATCATCTTTGTCTTTGCTACATTCACCTCCAACCCCTTCGCCCTGAAATACCTCTCCAAGTGTCTCACAATCCCTCTCATATCCGCCGCATCCTTCGCTATAACCACCATGTCATAGGCGTACGTTAGCACGTGAACCTTTCTCCCTCCTATCGTCACTCCCCCCATTTACCCATCTCCAGCCTGCCTTCCAAATCCGCCTTATACACGGCAAGAAGGCTTCTCTCATCGCTTTCCCTACTCTAACTCTAGCCGTCGTTTCCCTGTATATCCCCTTCACCCTGATACCTTTCCTCTCCATCTCTTCCCACAACTTTTCCCTACCCACCTTATCTAATACCGCCTTCAAATCTATGAATAGGGCATACAACTTCCTTATTATCCAACTTTCTATCCACCAGATGTTTTAAGATATAAACCCTGAATAAAACCTGTCTCCAGTCCATACGTCAACATCTCAATCTCTTCCTCCAATCTTCCCAGAAGTATCTTCGCATAAATCTGATATGAGGATATATTATAGCTCTTCACTTACCTTCTTGTACACTGGGCATATTATACCCATCCACCACCGTTCGGAAACCCTTCCTCCCTCCACACATTGTTCAACGTCTCTAACAGCTTTCCCGTCCCCTCCAACCATGTTTCGTTCTGTACGCCATCCTCTTCCGGTGCCTTTCCCCTCCTTAACCCCTCAAAACTGTTATAAACTTTTCTTCCGTAATCTCCTCACTCCCTCAGTCGTCTCCTCCTCCTCCTCGACCGCTTGCCTATCTTCTATCCCTCCCAACAAATTCATAAAGTGACTCCTCCATTCCGCCATCTGTATATCGTTATTGACCCTTCTCGTCTTATCTCCTTAATTTTTGCTGCTTCCCTTAACCTCAACTCCCTTTTCTTTGTACCTTCTTCTTACCTCTTTACAACTGTCCACCAGAACCTCTCTCTTCCACCACGGCCTTAATCTTCTTCTTGCCTCCCCGCGTTCTCCATCCCACCATTCATTCCTTCCTCGGTAATGCGTCACTCACTACCTCCATCAAATCTTCCAATCCCATTACTACTTCCACTCTTTGTCGCCAGCTCGTAAAATTTCCCCTGTAGCGTTCTATCTCCTCTCCTGACCAATCTGTCTTAACATATTTTACTTTCAACTGCACCTCTAACGGTTGGTGATCCGAATCTACCATATCTCCCACCCTCTCCCACATTCCTTGGTCCACTACCACATAATCTATCACGGCCACCCCCCTTGCACCCGTATAAGTATATTCCCCTTCATCTCTTTCCTCCCTATTCCCATACAGTATTTCCTCGCTCACATATTAGTCCGAAAATTCGTCTGATTATTTTTCTGTCAAAAACAAGAAGTTTCTTTGTATTGCTAGCTATCAGGCTCCATCTTTCTTATCCATATATAGCAACCGGCCTAATCAGAGTTTTGTATATCCTGATTTTGGTTGGAAATGATTCTAGACCTGATCAACTTTTTGTTAGCGTAGTTGGTTCTATTGGCAGCGAGTATTCCTTTGTATATCGGAGCCAAACCGGTTTGTGTTGTTTATTTCGGCTCCCAGATACACGAAATTTTCGACATTTTTTAAGTATTTTGTTTTTTCTACGTTTACCTCCAGTCCAACCTTCTTGGCCTTCTTTTGCAGCTCGTTGTAAATTTCCCTGAGTTGGTTTTCGTTAAATAATGACGATGTTATCCGCATAAGCAAGGATCATCTTGGACTTATAGATAATTGTCCCACTATTCATTCATTTTGATTGTCGATGATCTCTTTATACTCGTTATCGAACAAATCATTCCTTATCGGCCTCTTTTTTTTCAATCAAGTCCTCCGTGGTGTCAATTATAACTTTCCTTAACTTTTCCTATCTTTGGTTCACATTTTCGTGGTGGCTCAAGGTTTATATATTAAAGGTTGTCTAAGTACCTATGCTGCAATACTTTGATTTAGTTTGTGGGCGCGGGGCAAGAGCGGGAGTGTTTCGTGACGTAAGCGATCACGGATTGCGCACGCAACCTCATGGCCATGTGGTGCTCCGTGCATTTGTTTAATTTGAATTGCTTGGCGGTATTATTTTCCACATGTGACGTAATGCGCAGTATGGTTGCGTACGAATCTAGACAACCTCTTATATATAAACCTTGGTGGTGGCTTACCCCTCATTCCAGTTTTCTTGAGATCTCTTGTTGATACATGTGTGAGAACTAACGCCATCTGTAGTGCGAAGCTGACATCTTCTTGCAACACTGGTGGGGTGTCGGGTAGAGACATTAGTTGAAAAAGAACCGTACACGAGTGATTACGTGCCAAATAAAAAATTCTGTTGTATTTCTTTATAATAAATAATTATTATTAACAGTTTCGAAGTTATTTGGTAAATTGAGTTCTGACTTCATTAATTTATCGTAAAAGTCCGTGTACTCGATAACACCACCATCTGATAGTCTTCCATTTTTTCCCACATCCACAAAAATAAATTCGTAATTTGAATTCACTTTTGGGACCAACAAGTTCTAATAATTTATATTAAGTTCTAATATTTTATTCTTATAGTCGTCTGGGTAATTTTCTCTCAATTGACGTAGAAGTGGCATATGTCCGTGTACCTCACGATCTTGTTTCCATTGTTTGACCCATTCCGTTCTGTTTCGCTGTTTAGACTTTTCCAATATTTTTTTATAAGTATATATGGCAGCAACTGCAATAATCTGATTATTCGTTCGACTTTTAGGCATATTTAACCATCTAAAACAGGGGTCGGCAAGTAGTTTTCAGTGGGGTCCGGATTCGGTGTAAAATATTTTATGGAGGTCCAGAAAAAAACTAATAATTAAAAGGTACTGTTTTTTATTTTGTTTTCAAGTCGAGTTAATTTCCAAAAAAAGGGTAAACCAAGTAAAACAAGTAATTCTCAGTTAATATTGTAATATATTCAATGTGAGAAATTACAACGACGGTCTTGGGCCAGTTTTTTAAAGTTCGGTGTACGAGGGGTACAGCAAATGCGAAGTATGTCTTCGAGGTGGTCGTCCGTCAACCTTGACCGATATGTGTTCTTCGAAAAATTCATTTTCGGGAACGACGATTCGCATATACAGCGTGTCCCGTATCTTCCGCATCAGAGCATTATACGGTTGTAGGATACATTATTCTGAAGCGATCTTTCTAATAAAATTTTTTCGAAATGTTTATAATAACCGCACGGGAACTGTTTAAAGGAACTGTTTTTCGTCCAATCAGCAGATCGCAAATCAGACTCAGGTAATCGGTGCCACCCTCGGCCGGTCCGCTACGCCGATGATAACTCGTTTCCCACGTGTACTCACCAATAGATTCGTCATGGAAAGAGAAATAAACTTTTTCGATGAATCAAAGTTGTCCGTTATTGGTCGTCGTTAAACAGTTCCCGTGCGGTTATTATAAACATTTCGAAAAAATTTTATTAGAAAGATCGCTTCAGAATAATGTATTCTACAACCGTATAATGCTCTGATGCGGAAGATACGGGACACGCTGTATATGTCGAACCAAACATAGTGGCCAGATTGATAGCTACTTTCTTACAATTTTCATATTTTTCTGAAACATGTTTACCACAAAATTCTTCAGTGGATACAGTTTTATACATTTGCAAAAAAATATCTTCTCGCAAGTCGATTATCTCCACTTGAAGTGAAGACTTTGAAACGCTGAACAACTTAGCAGCCACATCAGTCCATTCTGCCGATGCATCAACTTGATAAGGAAATTTTAGGAATTGAGACAGCTTTTCAATTTCTGCAAAGACTTGAAATCTTGTAGCAAATTCGTCCCTTAGATCGGACAGAAATCTTACAAACACTGCAACGTCTTCTTCAGAGTTCTCTTTTTTATACTCAAGAATTGTTGGGAAATGAATAAATTCGTGCCTTGCAATATCTTTTTCAAAAATATCTAGCTTACGACGAAAAGCAGACACGCTTTGTATCAGATCACATATTAATTTCCCATTCCCTTGTAACTCTATGTTGACGCATTTAAATATTTCAGAATATCCTTCAGAAAAGCCACAGTTAGCATATTGCGCTGGTTTGTTATGAACTCTAAGTGCTTCTTTGCTCCCTGCGTATCCAAGGTTTGCAAGAAGGAGGTTACTTCTTCCTTTATTAGCCAGAAACGTTCAACAACTTGACCTTTAGTTAACCAACGAACATTGTTGTGTTGTAATAAGTCAGAATACACTGCATCACATTCTGAAAGAAACTTCTTGAACTTTCGGTGTTGAAGAGAAGAATGAGATCTCATAAAATTAATTAACTGCACCAAGCTGTCCATTACTTCTTTCAGTGTAGCACTGAGTTTTCCACAAAGGGCAGTCTGATGAATTATACACTGATACGATATTAGACCTGGATTCTTATCCCTGATTTTCTTTACTACACCTTTTTCTTTGCCAATCATCGCTGGGGCACCGTCAGTTGACAGCGACACTATTTTATCATAACGAATGTTGGAATTATTAATGAATTTGTCAATAGCTTTGAATAAATCTTCTCCTCGAGTGTTACCTTTCAAAGGCAATATTGCGAGCAATTCTTCTCTGAATATCTTATTTTCAACGTCGAAAAATCTCACGAAAATAGCTATTTGTTCATCATCAACAACATCACATGATTCGTCAAGTGCAATGGCATGGTAGCATGGTGCCTTTTCCAAGAGTTCAAGCAGAGAGCTTTTAATATCAGTAGCTAAAATTTCCAGGGATTCCCCTGGATTTTCCTTCACTAGAGGATTAATTAATAAAAGAGTGAAAAACGTAAAAAGGGTCACTCTCTTATTCTTTACAACACATGCTCTTGATTAAAGTATCACCGAATTTGTCTAACTGCCATTATTTTCGATCTCTTGCTCTTCTCTTATGTATATTTGATCGATACAACGGGCGTGATTAATTTGATTGGCCTCCTCTATTCCCGGGATTCTCCATGTTTTCAAGTGTCTTCCCATCTTTGTAGGGTACAGATAGTGATTACAGCTACAACTACACAAGCAGATCGCCAACCTATCAGGTTAGATCTGGAATGAGTAGGGTTGAAAAGGAAAGAATATGTGGTGTTAAATAACTAATTTATTTTATTTTTGAATCGATTTAAAAGGTGATTGTAATAATTAATTTGATCCGTTTTAAGTTGAGTATAAACATTTTTAAGTTCATAAGGATCTAGCATTAAATCGTAAGCTTCAATAAACCCCTAAAAAATTATTTTAATTAGTACTCATTTATAAAAACTAATTTACTTACCAAATCATCTTTAAACTGACAATATTTAAAATCCTCGTATTTCCCAAAAATCTTAACGCAAGTAAAAGTATTATTTTTCGAATCTTGACATTTACACCAATTTTCCAACGAACACTCAGCGACATCTCTCGGCGATGAAATGAAACAATTTTCATCAACACTTTCTCCTCCTTCGCCGAAATACTCCAAAAAAACGTAATCATTCATATTTTTATCATCAAAAAAAGGCTTTTTAGAATCGCCAGGGTTAAATAAATATTGTTTAAACGAAACTCCATCGATATCTCCCGGAATTTCGATCGAGGCTAAATCTAAAATCGTTGGTAACACATCGATGGTCGAAATCGGTCGATTTTCCAAAGATTTCGATCGAATTTTGGGCCCTTTAATGAAAAAGGGGACTTTAACATCCGTTTCGTACGGTTGCCTCTTATCCCAAGGTTGAGTAAACTGCCCGATATGAAAACCATTATCTGAGGTAAAAATGATGTAAGTTTCGTTTAAAATTTTTAAATCAATTAATTTTTTTATTAGCCGCTCAACCATTTCATCAACGGATAACAAAGTTTCCATTCTGAGTTGTTGAATTCGATCTAAACTTGTTATATTCGTCGGTAAATAATTCGGGTTCATTTCAACGATCCAATGTTTCTAATAAAAAAAAAAGATTTAAATGCGATTTTTTTGTAGGTTAAAACACTTACATCGTGAGATGAGTAATTAAAATTAGGCGTTTTTAAAGCTTTCGTTCCTTTAAAAGCTCCGATATGACGTGGGGCTGGTTGGAATGGGCTGTGGCAAGCTGGGGGGGCTATCATCATAAAAAAGGGGTCTTTTCGTTGATTTAAAAATTCAATCGAATAATCCGACTAAAAGAATTATTAAAATTAATTAAAAATCATTCACAGTTCGAGTTTCGCGATTTAATACACGTTTATTTTCGTTGTAGCGGGGTTGTGGTAGGTCTGTGTGTTAGGCAACTAAATGTGCAATATAGTGACTTTTTATTGTAAGCGGTTGGTAACTAGGAACCATTATGGCGGTTACGAGCAAAAAAACTAGAGTCATAGTAATTTGTAACACGAAGTTATGATCAGTATAACAATTAACAAGAATTACAACTTTTAATGAAAGAGAAATGAAGATGTTTTTCAACAACTTAGAAGCTTTGCAAACAAAACACCACTTTGATGTTAATCGTATTTATAATGTTGACGAGACGGGCATATCTAATGTCCAAAGAAATTGAAGAGTTTTAGCACCAAAAGGCCAGAAGCAACGAGTGTTGAAAGAGGTGTAACAGTTGTTTGCGCATTTAGTGCTTCAGGAATATATATTGCTCCGTTTTTAGTTGTTGCGTGGAGGCAATGATAATATGATAGCAGCCGTTAGCGATTCGGGTTGGATCAACGAGAACGAAGATTGGGTTACACCACTTCATCTTCTATGCTAAGCCAATTGTTGCAGAGCCAATTCTACTTATTCTGGACAATCATGAAAGTCATATTAGTCTTGCTTGCTATCTGCTTTGTCGCCAAAATGGAATAATATTGTTGTCCCATTCACCGCATATATCGCATCGTATGCAACCACTGGAGCCAGTGTCACTTCTAGCACAAAATAATTATTCTGTGCTTCTAGTTATTCTGTGCCTTTGGTAACTCGTGATAAGATGGCGGATTTTAAAACGAGGTGCCGCCATCAAACGAATCGACCTTAGTGTCAATTCTGGTATTCATCGTGTATTATTTTATTAATGTTTATTATTTTTATGTTAACGATGTTATGTTAAAATAGTTTGAAAGAGGGAGTAATATTGGTATTATTGAGTTCTGGGCGATATTTTTCCTTATATCTAACAATATATGTATTTTTTAAAAATAAAAAATTAAAATAAACTGTAGAATGTGTAGGTATCTAATTATGTTGTTTTAGACTAATATTATCTCTGATTTTGTACGACGCGACGGCGGCCTAGCAAATTATAAAAATCAATATATTTGATTTTGCTTTTATAGTTTATATTTATTTTATAGATTATATTTTATGTTATCAACAAATACCTAACAAATGACCAAAACCTTTTGGGATCATGCCGTATATTGCTCTCAGCGCTGACAATAAAACTGCGGTAATCACGATCGATAAGGAACTTTGAGCGACCCCTCAAAAGGGAAAAAATTATATAGTCGAGACGATTTCTACATCGCTTCCACTTCTTGTGATTCTTACGTTTTTCACGAATTACTTTTATAGTATCTTTTGAGAACCAGTACGGAAATCCGAGTCCGAAGACTCGTTTGCGCAGTACGAATAGTTTAAAAGTGTCAGATAGCACTTCGTGAAAATAAGTGGCAGCCTCATCCACGGTTCCACCGCTCAGACGATCCCGCCAGGGCACCTCACTTAAGTACATAGTAATTTGATCAAATAATGGATTTTTAAAATCATAACACTACAGTGGAATAATATTTTAGAAATTAAGAATTTGCATGATATATCTAGCGTAGTATGATCCAGCACCAAAGCATGATCACCCAAATCCACGTCGCAATGAAATACATTACAGGAAAAAACAAGATTAAGAATGTTACCAAAGTTATTACAATGATGATTTAATTGGGATAAACCAGCCAAGGAGACGGAGTCAAAGAACTCTGTAGCTTTTGCAGAAATTGCCCTGGACGGGACACAGTAACGGCGAACCCAACCCAATTCGGTCATTCCGTACTGGTGATCATTTTCGACACAGCCAATAACACACCACCCCCACGCCGAGCACCCGAATCATCATTCATGTGTCGGTCACGTCTGTAAGTCACATATGAATCGGGAAAATACTCTGCGGATTCAATTCCGGGATAAAGCCAGGTCTCCGTAAGGCAGATAACATCCAAATCCGCACTTAGTAGGTTTGTATAAAAAATAGGACCTTTACTGCGTAAGCCGTGTACGTTTTGGTAGTAGAGGGAAATGAATTTATTAGACGCCATTGCGAGTTAGAAAGCGATTTGGGGTTGGTTACGTTTAGTAGTTTAGGTTGAAAGTACAAATAGGGTCAAAACGTGCCCTATTATGAGTTAAACATATTCTCCAAATTTCATTTTTCTAGCGTTTATGGTTTTTGAGAAAAAGAAATTAAACCACAATTTTCCGCCATTTTTGGAAGGGTGTAGCTCCTTAGAGGAGCCGAAGTCGCCCATGATTCATATATCAAAGTACCCTTAAAATTCACTAAAGCAGTCACCCCTTGAAATTTGTTGCAGTCATTCAGATACACCTGTATATACAATATAAATATGATATTAACGTCCATTAAAATCTTGAGTTACTTTTCTGACCCCTGAATGAACAGTAAATTGTGGAGATGTAGAAAGGGCCCGCAGGGGCCTAAGTGCTGTGAAGGAATTCGCCTCCACATAAAGGTGCATACTACATACAACCAAAGAAATTGTATATATAGAAGCCGCATCGCCTATGTTCGCCCGTATACCGGTTTGAAGCCAACGCAAGGGCATTTGTTTGCAAACAAAATAGACCTTGGTCCTAGCGACAGTGGCGTGTACGAATTAGATGAAATTGGTCAGACTTTATCCAGTGGCGTATCCAAAGAGCATCCTAATTTCTGTTGAAGTTATGTTAAAATTTTTAAATACGTCGACGCTAGCGCTCTCACTCCTAACTAACTTGTAACCGTATAACCGAAATAAAACTAGTCTGCACAGAACACTCAAGCTGTACGCTGTTTATTTCTTTTACTTTCGATTTAACAGTTTCATATATAAAATTACAATCACAAATTAATTGTTAAACTAACTACCAATTGAAAAGTTATCGCCGTTTTATTATTTTATAAATTGTAGAATGAATTTTTTTCTATATCTTTGTCAAGTTTTAATAAGATTTTAAAGTATTAAACAAAATAAATATAATCTTGTAATCTTTTAAATTAATCAGAGGACCTAGAAACAATATACATACTTGGTAAACGATACAAGTATGTACTATTTTGATTGTTAAGATCTATTTCTAACTAAAAGTAGTAGTATACTAAATGTATAAATATACAGGGTGTATCTGAATGACCGCAACAAACTTCAAGGGGTGATTCTTTAGTGAATTTTAAGGGTACTTTGATATATGAACCATGGGCGACTTCGGCTCCCCTAAGGAGCTACACCCCTCCAAAAATAGCGGAAAATTTTGGTTTAATTTTTTTTTCTCAAAAACCATAAACGCTGGGAAAATGAAATTTGGGGAATATGTTTAACTCATAATAGGGCATGATTTGACCCTACTTGTACTTTCAACCTACCCTTCNGAGAGAACGGCAACCAAAGGTGTTTAGTGACTATGTTACCTATATGACTAAAGCAGAAGTTGATTTAGAAGATGTTCCAACTACTGTGGGTGAAGCTTTTTCAAGACCAGACAATGAACAATGGAGAAAAGCTATGGAAGAAGAAATGACGTCGTTTAAAGAGAATGACGCATGGGAATTAGTAAATATTCCAGAAAGTGGCACAATTGTTGATTGTAAGTGGGTGTTTAAAAAGAAAAGTGACATTGAAAATAAAGTAACATATAGAGCGCGTTTAGTGGCAAGAGGTTTTAATCAGAAACCTAGAATTGACATTGATGAAACATTTGCACCGGTAGTAAGACATTCAACTCTTCGACTGTTATTGGCTTTATCTGTAAAATTAAATTTAAATGTAACACATTTGGACGTTAAAACCGCTTTTCTAAATGGATTGTTGGAAGAAAATGTGTACATGAAACAACCGGAAGGTTTTATAATTCAGGATTACAGAGACAAAGTTTGTAAATTAAAAAAGGCCATATATGGTTTAAAACAATCGTCTCGTGCGTGGTATAGAAGGGTAGATGAGGTTTTAGTTAATTTAGATTATAAGAAATCTGATTTAGAACCATGTTTGTATACTAAAAAGAACAAAAAGTTGTTAACTGTTATTGCGTTGTATGTTGACGATTTCTTTATTTTTTCAAATGATAATAAAAATGCGATTTTATTAAAAAGCAGGTTAAGTTCCGAATTTAAAATAAAGGATTTAGGGAAGGCAAAGCAATGATTGGGAGTTAGAATTAAAAGAGACTTTAATAAAAAGATTATAACTTTGGATCAGGAGGGTTATATAAATCAATTGTTAAAAAGGTTTAATATGATTGATTGTAAAACTGCAAAGGTACCTATTGATAATACTGTAGCTCTTTCAAGTTCCGAAGCGGAGTATATTGCTTTAAGTGATGCTTCAAAGGAAGCAGTTTATTTCCGAAATTTGTTTTTTGAATTAACTAATGAGTTCAATTGTATCACCATTTTTAATGACAATCAAAGTGCTCAGAGGTTGTCAGTCAATCCTGTATGTCATAAAAGGAGCAAACACATAGATGTTCGTTATCATTTTATTAGGAAGGCTGTATCTGATCGTTTTATTGAAGTAAAGTATGTTCCGACGACGGAAATGATTGCTGACATTTTGACTAAGTGTTTAGCTAATGTAAAACATAAGCGTTTTGTACTAGATTTAGGATTAAACAGTTTAGTANAAACCACTGACATTTAAACGTCAAAAATATTTCTGACAAAGATTGCAAAGCCTACTAAGATTTTTTCATTAAAAATTCATTCCAACTTTTGATCGACAAACTCGTTGTTTAACGTGCAGTGTTTGCTTATTATTTTTTTTTCTCAAAAATTAATATTAATTTTTCGTTTTTGAAAAAATTTGACAAAAAAGTTTTAGGATACTTTCATCTACCTAGGTAAAATTTTTTAATGTATGTATCATCTGAATAAAAAAATATTAGCAAAAATGTAAAGGGGGTGGTTACGTTTAGTAGTTTAGAGGGGTAGGTTGAAAGTACAAATAGGGTCAAAACATGCGCTATTATGAGTTAAACATATTCCCCAAGTTTCATTTTCCTAGCGTTTATGGTTTTTGAGAAAAAAAAAATTAAACCAAAATTTTCCGCCATTTTTGGAGGGGTGTGTAGCTCCTTAGGGGAGCCGAAGTCGCCCATGGTTTATATATCAAAGTACCCTTAAAATTGCCTAAAGAATCACCCCCTNATTTTTTAAATACGTCGACGCTAGCGCTCTCACTCCTAACTAACTTGTAACCGTATAACCGAAATAAAACTAGTCTGCACAGAACACTCAAGCTGTACGCTGTTTATTTCTTTTACTTTCGATTTAACAGTTTCATATATAAAATTACAATCACAAATTAATTGTTAAACTAACTACCAATTGAAAAGTTATCGCCGTTTTATTATTTTATAAATTGTAGAATGAATTTTTTTCTATATCTTTGTCAAGTTTTAATAAGATTTTAAAGTATTAAACAAAATAAATATAATCTTGTAATCTTTTAAATTAATCAGAGGACCTAGAAACAATATACATACTTGGTAAACGATACAAGTATGTACTATTTTGATTGTTAAGATCTATTTCTAACTAAAAGTAGTAGTATACTAAATGTATAAATATACAGGGTGTATCTGAATGACCGCAACAAACTTCAAGGGGTGATTCTTTAGTGAATTTTAAGGGTACTTTGATATATGAACCATGGGCGACTTCGGCTCCCCTAAGGAGCTACACCCCTCCAAAAATGGCGGAAAATTTTGGTTTAATTTTTTTTTCTCAAAAACCATAAACGCTAGGACAACGAAATTTGGGGAATATGTTTAACTGGTAGTAGGGCACGTTTTCACCCTATTTGTACTTTCAACCTATCCTTCTAAACTACTAAACGTAACCACCCCCTTTACATTTTTGCTAAAATTTTTTTATGCAGAGGGTAAATACATTAAAAAAAAATTACATAGGTAGATGAAAGTATCCTAAAACTTTTTTGTCTCTCTAAAATTTTTCCAAAAACGACTAATTTTTGAGAAAAAAAATAATAAAGCAAACACTGCCCGTTAAACAACGGGGTTGTCGATCAAAAGTTGGAATGAATTTTTAATGAAAAAATCTTAGTAGGCTTTGCAATCTTTGTCAGAAATATTTTTGACGTTTAAATGTCAGTTTTTCTTACTATTATTATTGTTTTTCAAATTAATTTTTGAATAAAGTTCTATCGCATTTACGCTCGTTCACTCGACGTTTCAAAATTTTAAATAAAACAATAATAATAGTAAGAAAACCACTGACATTTAAACGTCAAAAATATTTCTGACAAAGATTGCAAAGCCTACTAAGATTTTTTCATTAAAAATTCATTCCAACTTTCGATTAACAACCCTACAGCTTAACAGTTAGTGTTTGCTTAATTATTTTTTTTCTCAGAAATTATTAAATTTTCGAAGAACATCAGAGAGACAAAAAAGTTTTAGAATAGTTTTATCTATCTAACTGAAATTTTTCCAATGTATTTATCATCTTCATAAAAAAAATCTAGGCATAAATTGAACGGGGGTGGTTACGTTTAGTAGTTTAGAAGGGTAGGTTGAAAGTACAAATAGGGTCAAAACGTGCCCTATTATGAGTTAAACATATTCCCCAAATTTCATTTTCCTAGCGTTTATGGTTTTTGAGAAAAAAAAAATTAAACCAAAATTTTCCGCCATTTTTGGAGGGGTGTGTAGCTCCTTAGGGGAGCCGAAGTCGCCCATGGTTTATATATCAAAGTACCCTTAAAATTGCCTAAAGAATCACCCCCTGAAGTTTGGGCATGTCATTCAGATACACCCTGTATATTTTTATATATTTTTTTTATTGAGAAAATCGTTTTAGAATTTAATTTAGAACAACTTTTGTATGAAATTTTTTGCTGAGAACGAGTGGAGGGGGGAAATCGTATCGTTTTGTTACAAAAGTTCCATGACCTATTTATTATACACTATGTATAGGGTAGGCGAAATTGGACACTTTTGAAGGGAAACTTCTTTCTATAAGAGATAGAGGAAAAATGATATCAGTGTTTGAGGCTCGATTTTTATAAGAAACTTAATGGTGAAAACCGTATATCGATATCTCTTACGGTTTCAGAGATACAGGGTGTTTTTCAATTTTGCAAAAATACAGGGTGTTTGACGTAACTGGTTCGTGCTAGTAAACTAAAAGATTATCAATGGTAGTTAATAATACATATAATAATAGAAATAAATTAAACGAAAAACTGTCAAAATGTCAATACAAACGTTTTCCTGCATGTTTTAATAAATTTTCCAATATGAGGCAAACTAAAATAAATACGTATAGGAATGTTTGTGGATAATTTGTTGAGAATTAAATTCCCTTTTTTCATTGAATAAGAAAAAACTAATTAAATTTTTGACCATCCTGTATAAGATACACCGATACAACAAATGACAATCTATTTGACGGCATTTGAAAAGTAATCAAAGATGGCGCAAAGGTTGCTTAAAAAGAATACTGTAGTGACCAAATTTGGGAATCACTTTTATGTATGTTATAACCTGATTATGACCCGAACAGAACTTTTGTAACAAAACGATACGATTTCCCCCCTCCACTAGTTCTAAAAAAATCTTGATTAAAAGAACAGCATACTATTCAGAGGGAAATTAAAATTTCGAGTTAGAAGAAAATTGTGTTAACAAAAATTGTTCCTGAAACAATTCTAACAAACTTTGTCAACAATTCTTTTTGATTTAATCAATAATTAAGGAGATAACCTCAAAATAATAATTTTTCCGTTTTTATACATAATTATAGTTAGATGCTTAATTAATAGAGATGTAAAAATTTTTTATTAAGATAATTGATTCAAAATCGAAATTTAAACAAATTTTATTTAAAACATTTTTTAATAAAAACAATAATTGTTGAGATAATTCATTTTGATAGCATACTATTCAGAGGGAAATTAAAATTTCAAGTTAGCAACAAAATTGTATTAACAAACACTGTTTCTTTAGTAATTCTCAACAAATTTTGTTAACAACATTTTTTGATAAATCAACAATAAGGATATAACCTCAAAAATATTAATTTTTGTAGCATACTCTTCAGTGGGAAATTAAAATTTTAAGTTAGAAAAACATTGTGTTAACAAAAATTGTTCCTGAAACAATTCTAAACAAATATTGTTAATACAAATTTTTGATTTGATCAATAATTAAGAACATAATCTCAAAAAAAATTTTATATACAGGGTGTATCTGAATGACTGCAACAAACTTCAAGGGGTGATTCTTTAGTGAATTTTAAGGGTACTTTGAGTACAAATAGGGTCAAAACGTGCCCTATTATGAGTTAAACATATTCCCCAAATTTCATTTTCCTAGCGTTTATGGTTTCTGAGAAAACCAAAATTTTCCGCCATTTTTGAAAGTGTGTAGCTCCTTAGGGGAGCCGAAATCGCCCATGGTTCATATATCAAAGTACCCTTAAAATTCACTAAAGAATCACCCCTTGAAGTTTGTTGCAATCATTCAGATACATCCTGTATATAAATAAAAATGAAAAAAAACGAATCGAAAGAAGAACGACTTTGAAGATTTATTGATTCGCAGGATTCGTTATTTTAGTGTGTCGTATTCTAAGGCAAAGGATAAAATAATATTCGGGAGTGTTCGGCGATAATCGGCCGATGGTCCGATCTGTGCACGTTCATTGTTTCAACTGGTTTCGACAAAGGTTGTTAGTAAACAAACCGCGTGTTACGTTGGCTTCAAGTTTTAATGTTTACAACTGCTTCTATATATACAATTTCTTTGCATACAACACCTACTCCTAGAACCAATGCCTGTCAAAACTCCCCTTTATTGAGAATGGCGAGATCCGCAAATCATGTTAACATAGATCTTTCGTATTACCACTTAACTAAGAGACATAGAATTTTTTTCTTATTTTTACCAGAACAGCTATGGGTTGGCCTCTCACCCCCGTGCCAGCTTGACGTTAAGTTTCGGGATACCCTGTATATTTGATTATATTATATCACAATATTTGATATTTATATCATTTAGACTTTTGATTTACTTTTGTACTATTATTATTAATTCATTATTATGATTGTGAATTGTAATTTATCCTGTATAGAACTGGTTTATGCTACAGTGTTATTGGGTTCAACCTGTTTCTGTACCCACTTCAGATAATTAAATAAATAAAAAAAATCATTAATCTTACTAAAACATCCGTTAGGTATTCATCCCGAAACGATTTCTTCGTCCCATTTATCGATAAAGAATAATTATAATAAACAGAGTTCCCTTTTAATCCAATCCACCAATCATAACCAACAGGAACATGTTTTAACCCCCCGGAGCGGTCATTTCCGTATTGATTTAAGTATNAGCATCTTCACTTTCGTTTTTCAAATCATTTACACAGTTGATCACCAACCCAACCCAACCCGATATTTTTTGCGTGGAACCACTGTGTAGCCACCAGACGTCATAGTGTTAAGAAAATAATATTGATATTGTAATAGTGCAGCAAGATTTTTTTTAATCGACTACGAGGCCCCCTTGACCGCGAGGCCGTCGGCGATTGCCGACGCCTATCGCCGCCATTGGTTCATACGTTTCTAGAAATATCACTGTTTGTTCTGATGTCCATTTTTTGGACGGTTTATTATTAATAGTTACACGTTTTCTTTATAAACGTTACAGGCGAAAATGCATTTGGCCGCCCTTGCCTAAATAAAAATTTAAAATAAAGGCAGTTTATTGGCGCCAATGGTTTTTCGCTATTTCCACATGCAACTAAACTGGTGCCAACTGACTAGCGCCAGTAATTCATGAATGTGTAAACTTGCCTTTATTTTAAATTTTTATTTAGGCAAGAACTAATGCCTGTCAAAACTCGCCTTTATTCAGAATGGCGAGATTCGCAAATTGTGTTAACATAGACCTCTTTCAGCATTCTTTCTAGGCATTTAAAAAATTGCTCTTTGCTGCAGTTGGTGTGTTACCTCAGGGGTTCATTTGATATGTAATATTTATATCACCTAGACTTAGTTTTATTTTTCTCGCCTTAATTCACTTTTGTATTATTATTAATAACTCATTATTATGATTGTGAACTATAATTTAACGTGTATATAAAGTTGTTTATGATACAGTGTTATTGGGTTTGACCTGTTTCTGTACCCAGTTGAAATAAATAAATAAAAAAAACTCATTAATCTTACTAAAACATCTGTTAGGTATTCATCCCGAAACGATTTCTTCGTCCCATTTATCGATAAAGAATAATTATAATAAACAGAGTTCCCTTTTAATCCAATCCACCAATCATAACCAACAGGAACATGATTTAACCCCCCGGAGCGGTCATTTCCGTATTGATTTAAGTATTTCCCGGCGTAAAACGTAGTATAATTTTTATTTGTTTTTAATAAATTCGCAACTGAGTGTTTTTCATGTTTTTTTTGCCAAAAATTACTTGCGCAATTCCCCGATAAAGAATTATTAAAAACTTGCAGGTTATGTATGTATTTTCCAGTTAAAATAGTGCTGCGACTTGGACAACAAATTGGGGTATTCACAAACTACAAAAAATAATTATTATTAATTCAAATATAAAACTTAAACATAACCTCAAAAAAAAAAACAAATAAGTGAGGTTATGTGTCAATAAATAATTAATTACCGCATTTGTGAACGTAATTCCTTCATCGGCAACTAATTTTCGGGTACTTCTCATTGGTAACTGCAAAATAAATCGTAATTATTAATTAAATTTTGTATCAAAACGTACTAATCCGTTTAATAATAAATCTTGATCATCGGTGAGAATAAACACAAAATTAGGATCACCGCACTCAATCGATAAAAGGAGGCCACAAAATACAATAAAACCCAACATTTTTTAATAACTAAATAATTTAAAGGTTTATTTCAATCGAAAAAAAAATCATTCATTTTCTATGTGTGTATTTAACGAAACGTTAATTTGCACTGGGAAGGAGCTCCATTCCCACGCATTCTTTGGCGATGGTTATTCCAAGTGCGAACATCCCCACGCTTTTTACAACCGACCTAAAATAAAGTTTAATTTAGATTTAGACCCAAAAAGTGAGGTTATGTCAAAAAATTTTTTTTAACAAATTTGATTAAAATATTTACCATTTGAAATCGTCGTAATAAACGGTTTTAAAAAAGGTCATAAACGAATTTTCTTTAGCCATTTTTCCACGGGAAATAAAGATGTTTTTTAATTTAATTTCGGATTGAAAACGTGATCGATTTTATTCGCAACTAATTTCACTCTAAACAAATTCAAACAAAAGTATCTAGATGGAAAATTAATTTACGAATTTATTTTTAATTTAATTATTTTAATTTAATATTAAAATTTACGTTGTAAATTTTGGTATAAACAAATAAAATTGGGATAAATTAATTAATTAGTATTGAAAATTTAAGTTGGTATAACCGAATAAACAACCTGTCAAATGTCTCGGGGTAAAGCGTCAAAACTCATTTTTAATTATTATTTTTTAACGATTTTTTGCTAAATACACGTCTAAATCGTATTAGAAATGACGGAGGAACGTTTACATATCGTAAGTTGATTGATTGATTAAGATTTATTAAAAATGTATGGAAAAAAATTAAAATTAAAAACATAACCTCAAATTAGATTTTAATTTTGTTTGATTTATTTATTAGGATTGGGGTAACGATAAATTGTATCGGACTCAAAGGCAAGTTGAGAAAAACGCGTACGATTTGGAGTCGTGGTCTATTTTGCTTCGAGAGGCGCAGAGTAAACACATTTCGGAGGTTAGGGCACTTTACGAGCATTTAATATCGATTTTTCCGAGTGCTTCGAGGTATTGGAGGATTTACATTGAGCATGAGGTGAAATTATTAATTAATTTAATCAATTAATGTTTTTGTAACAATTTTTTTTTTGGTTTTAGATAAAATCGAGGAATTTTGAGAGGGTCGAAAAGGTAGGCTTGGAGGTTTTTAAACTTTTGAACGATTTCTTAAATAAAAATCATTTAAAAAATGGATTTAGATCGATCTTTTATTTTTTTCTTGATTAAATCTGTGTATTGATGATTTGGGAGGGAGAATTTTTTTTTTGCTTAAGTCAAATTTGAATCAAATTAATCTTAATCAAAGCAATGAAAAGAAACTCTCCTTTCTGAATTAAAAATGATCCTTTAAAATAATTCCTATAAAAAGAAAAATATTTTTTCGTTTTTTTTTTGTTCTTATTATTTTAACAGCTCTTTCAAAGGTGTCTTATGAAGATACTGAACATAGAGCTATGGAAGCTGTACTTATCCTATGTTAAGGAAACGAAAGCCGCTTTGCCCACTTACAAGTAAGAAATAATTAAGTTTTAATTCACGAAATTAATTGGTGTCTTTGAAGAGAGAAGATGGCCCAAGCTTATGATTTCGCCCTGGATAAGATTGGGATGGACATCCATTCGTACACGATTTGGAACGATTATGTTAACTTTTTAAAGAGTGTTGAAGCTGCTGGGAGTTATGCAGAGAACCAAAAAATTTCTGCTGTAAGAAAAGTCTATCAAAGAGGGGTGATTAACCCAATGGTGGGGATGGAAACTTTTTGGAAAGACTACATCGCTTTTGAACAAGTAATTTTTTTAATTTTTAATTATCTCATTTAGGTCCACAATGATTTTTTTTAATATTTAAAAGTATTGATTTTGAATCAGAGATATACTATTTGTTTAAGAAGGATTTTAGCAGCCCTATGCATTTTTTTATGATGGATAATTAAAGTTTTAAGTGTAATTATTAATTGCTCCCTCTGTCCCAAATTATGGTATACACTTCTCTAAAATTTATGGATTAAGGAAAGTTTAGAAAATTAACAAGTTTAAATTAACGAATATAACTACGTGCTGACTTTTTCTAAAAAAGTATTAGGCGGCTATGTTTAAAAACAGTTCAGTTGTTGCGCATGCGTCACTTGAGAAATGTCAATTTGTCCGAAAATTACAAGATACCCGTTAAAGGTCCGTTAAATAAACATACTGTATAAGGTTATCCAACTCCTTATGAACGTATCCCCCCCGCAAAGGCCTTACTATGACGTCATTAGAAGAATTGACATTTCTATGTTTTTATGTATACAGTATATTTCACTGTGTGTCATAAAAATAGAGTTTCATAGAAACCAGAGCGTACCTACTTACTTTGTCCATGTCCAAGGACAGTAGAATCTAACAGGACTGCCACATTCATTGTTGTGACAACGTGCCCGCAAACTACGTCATACCATTTGCCACGCCCAGCTCTATGCGTTTGCTGTGTATTTTTAGAGGTTATATCGTAGGCGTATTCATATTATTTTTGAAGTTTTATTTTTTTAGACGTATTAATTGTCTATCATGTAACCTCTAAATCTCTAAAAACACGCAGCAAACGCATAGTACTTCATGACAGTTAACAAGGCGTGGCAAATAGTGTGACGTAGAGTGCGGGCAACCAACCCGTAGTGAGCTACAAAAATACAATGCATGTTGCAGTCCTGTTAGATTCTACTGTCCTTGGTCCATGTCAATATAATTTGACATTACAGTAGAGCGTCGATACAACGGATCAATACGAGAAACGCAGTGTCAGCTCAATAAAAATATACAACACTTTAGACTAACACTAGCAGTAGACCTAGAAACATTCGGTTTAGCCGTACTTCTCTTAAGACGGCTGGTAAGTGATAGATTGCGCTAGTTAGCATAAAATATCACTATGCCGTATATTTTTATTGAATTAAAACTAGAACTAACACTAAACCTAGAACTAGAAACATTCTAGTGATAACGTTCTGGAGATAGTGCTAGTGTAAAACTAGAACTAACATTAGACTTAGAACTAGAAACATTCGAGTTTAGCCGCACGTCTCTCCAGACGGCTAAAGCCGAATGATTCTAGTTCTAGGTCTTGTGTGAGTTCTAGTGATAGTGTAAAACTAGAACTAACACTAGAACTAGAAAGTATCAGGTTTAGCCGTGCATCTCTAAACACAGCTAAACCCGAAACTTTCTAGTTCTAGGTCTAGTGTTTGTTCTAGTTTTACACTAGCACTATCACTAGAACTGACACAAGACCTAGAATTAGAATCATTCGCGTTTAGCCGTCTTGAGGGACGTGCGGCTAAACTCGAATGTTTCTAGTTCTCGGTCTAGTGTTAGTTCTAGTTTTAGTTCAATAAAAATATGAAACATGTTAATATATTATGCTTAATAAGCAAGAAATATGCTTTAATTTGATACTAAATTCGACCTATTTAGGTTGAAGAATAAAAAAGTTGTTAGAAACTGTCAAATGTCAAAATCAAATTAACTGATAAATATTGAAATATTAACAAGAATCAAGAATGCTTTAATTTAATATTAAATATGACTTATTTAGGTTAAAAAATGAATAAGTTAGGTTAGAATCTGTCAAATGTCAAAATCGAATTTAATTATTTTATGATGAATGTTGAAATAACCGTAATAAGAATCAAAAAGCATTTGATTTGATACCAAACATGACTTATTTAGGTTAAAAAATGAATAAGTTAGGTTAGAATCTGTCAAATGTCAAAATCGAATTTAATTATTTTATGATGAATGTTGAAATAACCGTAATAAGAATCAAAATGCATTTGATTTGATACCAAACATGACCTATTTAGGTTAAAAAATAAAATGTTAGGTTAAGAATTCAACAAAAACCCGCCATTTTGTTTTTCTTGACGTAATTTCAATATTTTCGTAGTTAGAATCTGTCAAATGTCAAAATCGAATTTAATTATTTTATGATAAAAATTGAAATGATCGTGATAAGAATCAAAAAGCTGTTAATTTAATACCAAACATGACTTATTTAGGTTAAAAAATGAATAAGTTAGGTTAGAATCTGTCAAATATCAAAATCGAATTTAATTATTTTATAATGAATGTTGAAATAACCGTAATAAGAATCAAAAAGCATTTGATTTGATACCAAACATGACCTATTTAGGTTAAAAAATAAAATGTTAGGTTAAGAATTCAACAAAACCAGCCATTTTGTTTTTCTTGACGTAATTTCAATATTTTCCTAGTTAGAATCTGTCAAAAGTCAAAATCGTATTAATTATTTTTTGCTAAAAATTGAAATGATCGTGATAAGAATCAAAAAGCTGTTAATTTAATATCAAAGATGACTTATTTAGGTTAAAAAATGAATAAGTTAGGTTAGAATTTGTCAAATGTCAAAATAGAATTTAATTATTTTATGATGAATGTTGAAATAACCGTAATAAGAATCAAAAACCATTTGATTTAATACCAAACATGACTTACGTAGGTTAAAATATAAAATGTTAGGTTAAGAATTCAACAAAAACCCGCCATTTTGTTTTTCTTGACGTAATTTCAATACTTTCGTAGTTAGAATCTGTCAAATGTTAAAATCGAATTAATTAGTTTTTGATAAAAATTTAAATGATCGTGATAAGAATCAAAGAGCTGTTAATTTAATACCAAACATGCCTTATTTAGGTTAAAAAATGAATAAGTTAGGTTAGAATCTGTCAAATGTCAAAATCGAATTGAATTATTTTATGATTAATGTTGAAATAACCGTAATAAGAATCAAAATGCATTTGATTTGATACCAAACATGATTTATTTAGGTTAAAATATAAAATGTTAGGTTAAGAATTCAACAAAAACCCGCCATTTTGTTTTTCTTGACGTAATTTCAATATTTTCGTAGTTAGAATCTGTCAAATGTCAAAATCGAATTTAATTATTTTATGATAAGAATTGAAATGATCGTAATAAGAATAAAAAAGCTGTTAATTTAATACCATACATGACTTATTTATGTTAAAAAATGAATAAGTTAGGTTAGAATCTATCAAATGTCAAAATCGAATTTAATTATTTTATGATGAATGTTGAAATAACCGTAATAAGAATCAAAATACATTTGATTTGATACCAAACATGGCCTATATAGGTTAAAAAATAAAATGTTAGGTTAAGAATTCAACAAAAACCCGCCATTTTGTTTTTCTTGACGTAATTTTAATATTTTCGTAGTTAGAATCTGTCAAATGTCAAAATCGAATTTAATTATTTTATGATAAATGTTGAAATAACCGTAATAAGAATCAAAATACATTTGATTTAATACCAAACATGACCTATATAGGTTAAAATATAAAATGTTATGTTAAGAATTCAACAAAAACCCGCCATTTTGTTTTTCTTGACGTAATTTTAATATTTTCGTATATATATCGAGTTTGGATTCATTTTGAAGGATTTTCAATTTCCTTTATGATGCAATTGGTTAGAAACGATTTTAAAATATTAAAAAATTAATAACATTTTTTTTTATTATAAAGACATTTTTTTATTTTTCTATTAAATTCTTAATCTTTATTAAAATCCCTTTAATTTGAAACCGAACACAACTAATTTCCGATAAAAATCAATAAGGTTAGGTTAGGAATCAACAAAAAATTCGCCATTTTGTTTTATTTTGACGTAACTTTTACATTATCGTAAATAGGTCGAGTTTGGACTTATTTTAAAGGATTTTAAATTTTCTTTACGATCCAATAGGTTAGAAACGTGCGATCCTTCTCCTGTTCTTCCCCTTAAGGGGGGAAATTCATTTAGAACCGTCAAAAAACTCAAAATTTTTTTTTTCCACAAAAAGTTGCCTGAACATCTTAAGAATATGATAGCAAAATTTTAAAGCGAAATTCTAAGTACTTCCGTTAAAATAGCGTATTTTCCCGGTGCGCGTTCTTCGTGAAAATTATACATATAANTTTGTTTTTCTTGACGTAATTTTAATATTTTCGTAGTTAGAATCTGTCAAATGTCAAAATCGAATTAATTATTTTTTGATAAAAATTGAATTGATCGTGATAAGAATCAAAAAGCTGTTAATTTAATACCAAACATGACTTATTTAGGTTAAAAAATGAATAAGTTAGGTTAGAATGTGTCAAATGTCAAAATCGAATTTAATTATTTTATGATGAATGTTGAAACAACCGTAATAAGAATCAAAAAGCATTTAATTTGATACCAAACATGACTTATTTAGGTTAAAAAATGAATAAGTTAGATTACAATCTGTCAAATGTCAAAATCGAATTGAATTATTTTATGATGAATGTTGAAATAACCGTAATAAGAATCAAAGAACATTTAATTTGATACCAAACATGACCTATTTAGGTTAAAAAATAAAATGTTAGGTTAAGAATTCAACAAAAAACCCGCCATTTTGTTTTTCTTGACGTAATTTCAATATTTTCGTAAATATGTCGAGTTTGGATTCATTTTAAAG